CCAAGTATCCTCAAACTGCTGCTTCTCAACAGTCCCAAAGGGATTGAAGGAGGGTGAAGAAAATGTATTTAGGTCAAAGAGGCCATGGAATTAAAAGGGCATGTCTTGACAAGTGGTTAGAGTTGGTAACTGCAATAAACTACTGCTTGAGCTAGGAAGTCTCCCTTGCCCTTGATTTAAGACCCCGACCCTCTTCCAGTTTGTTTTAAAAGATTATTTTATCTTTTTGCTTTACATTCATTCTTCGGTATCCTGGATTGGTTCCAGGATCCCTCAAACATATGCTCCAGCCCTTTAGACAACATATCATAGATTTGTATGTAACCTACCCACTTTCCCCTGCATACTTTTACATGTAAATAGTAGTTATACTATATTGTTTAGAATGACTGTAATAAAATGTACATGTTTAGTACAACTGCAATTACTTTTTTTTGGAATATTTTTGAGCTGCAGTTGGTTGAATCCATTGATGCAGTTATGGTAGGTTGGCTGAATATGTAATATTATACTATTGGTCTACAGAACCCCAAATACACAGGTATTCATGTTTTACAAGGAAAATTCTTTTTAGGGTGATGGTGCCAGGTTTGCCCAAATAAACCCCTTCACTTAAAGTCCTACTGAGTTGACCCTAGGGGCCAGACCTATAATATGGGCAAAAAAGGGAAAAGCAGGCCCTAGGAATTCCTCAAGGAAGCCCTAACCTCTCAGCAGGTATGATCAACTAATAATGAGTAGCTGATGTAATTTTGAAAATACTCAGGAAAAGAATATAAATGCTCTCGTAACATCTACTTGCATGGGTACCACATTTGAGGGCACTTTAAAAAAATCCGTAATTATTTTAAGTACAAAATTGTATTTCTTTAGACTCAACTGAGTAGTATTTATTGCGAAAAAGTTACTCACCAGAAATTATAGATCTTTAAAATATTGGAATTTGTTAAAACATACCTGAACAAAAATCAATTTTATAATCCATACCAGAAGAAAATCAAGACCTTTTAAAAATATAATTTGTCTGTGAGTAATGAGTATTATTCCATTTAATCAACTGTTTTGTTTATAAGGCAGCTCAGAATTACTTTTATATCATCAAATCTACCCTCATCCTTTTTTCAAGGTAAGTACGAAGCTATTAGGGCTCTGAATCAGATAGAATGAAGTGTGCAAGGCGGGTGTAGTAAGCAGACATTAAAAGTTCTAATGATTCATGAATGTTAACGAATGGCTGGCAAAATATGTCTTCCTATCAGGAGTTCGTCAGAATCAGTCTAAACTTGAGCCCCACTAGGCACCAAGCATTGTGCTTTCACTCATTTGTATCCAATTCTAGGTGCATAATATCTCGAGACAGCTGGGGTAACAGATTTCACCAAGAGAAATCTTCCAGGCACCACAGGTTATCCTATGTCCCAGAAGGCTAGAACAAATCTGTGTCTATTAAACTGAACTTCATTCCCTGCTGCAGAGTACAGATATCCTCAAAAAATACATCATCTAGAAGCCATCCAGAAACTGAGCTGGAAGCTGGGACGTTCAGCCTAAATGTTTGGAGCCTTAACTGGGAATGGGGAAGGCATGGGAGCCTCTTTACACTTAAACTTGCTTCTTTCTAACATTTACCAGCAAGACAAATTTAGAACTTACAGAGCAGTAGAAATAGCAAAAGTATTCATTAATAAGGTTTATGTACAGCAATCAATTTAGTATAGTGTAGTACAAATAAGTATTTCAGTTACATTATCCCACCAAAAAACAAAAACCAGAAACCATTTAGTAACTGTTGCTAAATATCTGAGCATAACAGCAACATAGTAGGAAACAGGGGATAGGCCATAAAAATGGGACAGATCAGGACCGGAAACTCCCTAAATTCAATATGCTGTATAGTGTTTTCTTATAATTTTATACTCCCTCTTATTGTGATATCACTAATTTTCAAAGACATTTTGATTTGTTACCTTGAATACTACTGTTTGAAAGAGATCTTTTGTGATGGCCCAGAGTCAGAAAAGTTATCTTCTCTCAGGTCACTTTGGCCTAGCATTTTTCTTAAATGGTTCCAAATATTTTGAGATATATATCTATATATCTATATATCTATATATCTATATATCTATCTCACAATACTTATGGTATGCTTTTAGGTTGATGCTCATAAAATCTCCATGATGTAGGGTATTTTAAATGTCTAATTAGGATAAAAGCAAAACAAAACTGTAGAAAAGAAACACAGCTTATTAATTTGGACTATAACAAAGTGGTTTTTTTTATCCCTGAACAACGCAAACCCTGGATAAATCCAAATATTTTGGAACTCAGTTTTGCATATCAGCTTCAGAACATAGATTTTTCTACGCCAGGTACCATTCTAGAGCTCCCCAGTAAGACCCAATGCTAATTCCCAGGCAGTACATCATATACTGACTCACATTACTCATAGGATCATATGCTAGGAATTTTCCCATATGCAAAGGACAAGTCTGATCCATGCTTTCTTTGAAATTTGTATTTATTTATTTTGTACTGGGAATTGAACTCAGGACCTTGCGCTTGCTAGGCAGGCACTTGTGCCGCTAAGCTATATCCCCGGGGTAATCCATGCTTTTATAACTTATGGCTGCCAGCCTGAACTGTACAGCAAAATCCTGTCTCAAAAAAAGACCAAAAAAACCCAATAACCACCACCAAAAACCAAACAAATAACTTATGGCAAATAAAGCACACTAATAGAGTGCTGCAGCAAGTGGACCCTGGATTTGTTAATATACAGGAAAATTACAAACACATTATCCTTTGACCTGAATTTTCTACTCTTAGGAATCCGTCCTGAAGATAAACTTGAAAACTTATGAAATTTTACCAAGTGATTTACTGCGGTACTATTTGTAAGAGCACATTTTAAAAATCAACCTGAATCATTTGGGGGACTGGTTAAATAAATTGTGGTATTTCCATCAATGAAATGGCAAGCAGCCTTAAAAAGAAGGGAGCAGAGAGGAGGGGAGAACTCTTTGCTCTGGGTGAGAGAATTAAAAAGAACACCTTCAAGATGCGTAAATGCAAAAGCAAAAAGCACAATGTGTAGGAGATTCTGTACTCTGTATAAAAAAGGGTGGACAAGCCAGGCGTGGTGGCGCACACCTGTAATCCCAGCACTCAGGAGGCTGAAACAGGACCATTTAAGAGTTCAAGGCCAGCCTGGGCTACAAAGTGAGTTCAAAACCAGCGTGAACTGCATAGTGAGACCCTGTCTCAAAAAGACATTAAAAAAAAAAAAAGGGGGGAGGCTGGGGATTTAGCTCAGTGGCAAAGCGCCTGCCTGGCAAGTGCAAGGTCGTGAGTTCGGTTCCCAGTACCAGAGAAAACCCAAAAAAAGATCAAAAAAAAAAAGGTGGGATAGAGTATATACATATATCTGGGCATGGTGGTGCACGCCTGTAATCCTAGCACTTGGGACTTTGAGACCAGCCTAGGCTACAAAGTGAGTTCAAGGCCAGCCTGAATTGCAGAGCGAGACCCTGTCTCAGAAAGACAAAAATAAAATAAATAAATAAATAAACAAACAAACACACACACACACACACACACACACACACACAGAATATGTGGGAAGGATAACATAATATCTCTAAAAGGACACATCCGAAATGCTACTGCCTTTTTTTTTTTTTTGAGACAAGGTCTCACTATGTGGTTTAGGCTAGCCTTGAATATACTATGTAACTCATGTTGGCCTTGAATTCTAGGCAATCCTTCTGCCTCAGCCTCCCAAGTCCCAGCACTCAGAAGGTGGAAGCAGGATCACCATGAATTCAAAAACCAGCCTGTACTGCATAGCAAGACCCTGTCTCCAAAAAAAAAAAAAAAAAAGAGGAAAAAAGAAAAATCTTTAACCTCTCAAATTCACAAATAAGAAAACTATGGCCCAAAGAGGCTAAGTAACTTCACCAAAAGGACACAATCAGTAGGTGGCAAAGTCAACCTAGAACCTGACTTAAATTCTAATCTATTCTCATAGATTTCTTTTACCTTCAGTAGTGTCTTAATTGCCACAAGGGGTGAGCAAGTGTCAGCTACGATCCAGCTTGAGGGCTCGGGTGCAGCTGGTAGAGTGCTTGCCTCGCATGCACAAGGCCCTGAGTTCAATCTCCAGTACCACAGAACAAAAACAAAAACATATAATCCAGCTCGCATTTTGGGGACAACATGAATGACAGGGCTAGTGTGAGCTGATAGCCTATCTCTATGAGACAATTTTCAAAGCTCACAAAGGAACCAAAGGGATCCGCATAATTATATGTGGTCTTGCTCCTCAGCTGGGTTATGTTTAGCTAAGAGTAGTTAAAGCCATCAGATAAACAAGGCATGGGGAGCGGGGTTTCCTACAGCATCAACATATTTTAAACATTTGGAAAAAATGTTAAACGACAACCAAGTAATTAGAATTATTTTTACATTAGAACAGAACATATTGTAGCACAGAACGTGGAGTGCACGTGAACATCTACATTAACTAGGGTGCTTCACTGAAGTTTCAGGCTGAGTCTGACTGAGAAATGTCAGGGGGCATGGAAGGATACTTTCTCCAACTCCTACGAGTCAGGAAGGATTTCGAACTACTACAGCAGGAGAACTAAGGTAACAGCCTATTTGGATTAGAGACAGATGGACCCGGATGTGGTGCCTACTTGTGGCACTGAGTAACCGTGGATCACTAACGGCTCAGAGCCTCCGTTTCCTCGCCTGTAAAATGTGATCAGGATTACTTTACCCGTAGTTCTGCTACAAGAACTGGAGATGATTACATTAAACTAACTGCCTGGACTCTAGAGGCACTGTACTGAAGTACAACCATCACCAACCTATCTGCCTGTCTGCCCGTCTGCCCTCTCCCTTGGCTTCAGCTTGTGAGAAGATAAGGCAGACGATGGGTAGTGACAAGCCCGCCCCACCAGCCCCGACAGAAAGGAAACACAAGAGGACAAAATTACCTGGTGAACACTGCTCATTATACTCACATATTTCATTTCAAACTTCTTAGCCAACATTTCCACTTCTTGCCTCTCCTGATGATCATCATCAAATGGGTCTTCTGTACGAAAGAGTTTTTTCTGATTCAAAGTGAATGGGAAAGAAACAAAAGTATTAGTATTACTTCAACTGTTATTATTGCTATATGCTAATATCTTCAATTATACTGCTATAATTGAATATATAATCATATATAGTAATATATCAAACATGTTCAATAAAACATTAAATCATGTAATTACTTCAATTATATTGTTATTCAGAGTTGAATATACCCTTAAATTTAATCAATAATGAGAGTCAATTTTTCCTGCCAGACATGGTAGTGCACACCTGTAATCCCAGCACTTGGGAGGCTGAAGCAGGAGGACTACTGTGAGCTCAAGCCTAGCCTGGACTACAGCAGTGAGTTCAAGGGCAGCCTAAACTACATAGCAAGACTCTGTCTCAAAAAAAAAAAAAATTCCCCAATACTAACAAGTTACAAGAATTAAAAGTAACTAAAAGCAATGCTGGTTCACATCAAGAATATTTGCAGTTTTAACAGCTTTACACATGTTCCACAGTTGTTTCCTAGCCAAGAACTCGACAATTCAAATTGACTCCGCCTGTAAAATGATCACATGACCACCTCATCTAAAAGAACAAGGAAAAAAAACACCATGAATATTAGGTAAAAACAAACGTGCATTTAACTTTAGTTTGACATCTTCTCTAACAAAGATTAAGTGCTTCAGTTAGGAAATGCCTCTAGAAGAATCTTCAGATTATTAGAGTCAACCTTTAATTATCTTCCTATGAGTTACCACTGAGTATATTCAGCTGCCCTGATTCTGCCGAGACCGGAATCAACAACTTCTGTATCACCAGTCTCTTGTCAGTGGAGACCTTTTCAGGGAATACACACTGTTTTTAACTAAACACAGGTTACAGAGTGAAGAGCTGCAAAAAGATTACATTACCATGGCTTCCTTCTAGCAAGGGAGAGCGAAAGGTTATTGTAAAATGCATAGTTTAAAACACACACACACACGCACATACACACACAATGAGCTAGGATCCAACTTTTATGATCTACTTGCCAAAACAAAGAGAAAAATCACATCTTCTACTCAAGTCTATTTTATAGACATATTTCAATAAACAAAGGCAAAAACAAGGAGCTATTTTTTTTTTTTTTTTTTTTTGAGACAAGGTCTCACTATGTGGTTTAGGCTAGCCTTGAATGTACTATGTAACTCATGTTGGCCTTGAATTCTAGGCAATCCTTCTGCCTCAGCCTCCCAAGTGCCAGGCTACAGATGTATGCTACCATGCCAGAGTTGGTGCACTTTAAAAAAAAAAAACAATTTTTTTTTTCCAATTTCAAACAACTGACTTGAAAGCAAAAATTTTTAAAAGAAGGCTAGCATCTTCATATAATTAAAAATGGAAGTATCTTACAGTTGAAATATTGGATAATCTGGCTGACTCTGAAGTGCAAGAAAAGTATGCTGAGGAGACAAAGATGTGCACACTTTGGAACTGAGGCAGTTCATCCTACATTTAGGCTGAGATGTGATCAGTCTAAAACACATGCCAGGAAAATACGGTTAGCATGAATACAAAACATTAGAACAAAGGGGTACTTCTGTAGGCTGAAAGGAGTTCATTTTAGAATCATTTTTTTTTTTTTTAATCTTTTTGAGACAGGGTCTTGCTATGCAGTTCAGACTGGCCTTGAGCTGACTTTGTAGCCCAGGCTGGACTCGAACTCGCAAAGATCCGCTTGCCTCAGCCTCCCGAGTGCTGGGATTACAGGCGTGTGCCACCGTGCCTGGCTTAGAATCAATTTTAAAAACTGTAATAAATAATAAACAAACTTACAGAATTCCTTATCCTAAATGGAATTCTCAATAGAAATTTTTTTTTTTTTTTTTTTTTTTTTGTTTTTTCTCCGGTACCGGGAACCGAACTCACGACCTTGCGCTTGCCAGGCAGGCGCTTTTTGCCGCTGAGCTAAATCCCCAGCCCCAATAGAAAATATTAGTATGACCCAAAAAGAAACTAGCTTGAATAGACGGGTAAGAAGCCTAGGACTCCTGGGCATGTTCAGGTGCTGCCCAGAGTAAACTGAGGCTAAAGTTAAGAGCAAGCAGTCACCATGTTTCGCTCTTATTAACTTCTCCCTCTGCATATGAAGCCTGAGTACAGGTCTGAGCCACTTCACGTGCGCAGATATAAACACATGGATTTGTATTTTGAGTGACAATCGCCTTTAACGCCATTCTAAAATATTTTATGTACTTTATCCAAGCATCAAAGGTACATCTCTTATTTACTTTTACTGGTCATAATAAATTTAAAGAAATAGACTCTTTCTTTTTTTTAGATAAGAACAACTTTGTTCTCTTCCTCAAAACCAAGTGGGCTGGGCCAGGGATATAGCTAAGTGGCATAAGCACTTGCCTGGCAAGCCTGAGGTCATGAGTTCGATTCCTGGTACCAAAAAAACAAAAGAACAACTCAACAAAACCAAATGGGCTTACGTTTTCTCAGGAGAAAAAAATAATCAGAAAACTACTAACTACCCACATGCAAAAATTTTGTCCTCTGCTCTTAACTCATTAATACTAATTTTAGATTTTTCACACACCTTATCCAACACATGTGATATGAAAGCCAGGTGGTGGCACACCTGTTACTGCACATTTGGGCATCTTGGTAACTTGGAGAGGTTTTGCCCCAAAATAAAACAAATTTTAAAAGGTCTGGGGCTGTAGCTCAGTGTGAAGGCCCTGGGTTCAATTACCAGTACCACCAAAAAAGAAAAAGCAATATGACAAGCAATGAGATACCACAGAATTATGAAAAAGGATAGTCACATTAACACTTCACTTTATTTTCCTCAGAATTTCCAGAAAGATTTCAATTAATCATGCTCTCAAATAGGTATTCTGGTAAACTGATTTTCTGGTTTACTAAGAGTTAAAAAGTGTTTTTTTTCTCCCGTATAAATAACTGGCAGAATTTATTTCTGAAACGTACTGGCACCCTCTACCAAGAAAGGGCGAGCAGAGGAGCCTCTCAGGGCAAGATGAGTTCAACAGCCCAGTCACCATCCTGAGCTGCCTTGATTACAGCACAGCGCTGCGAGATTACAAGGTCAGGGCCCAGCTTGCCTGTGTTCTGACAGCTCGGAAGGTGGCTTTACTCTTCATGTTCTGTCAGTGTGTGTTTATCTCATTATACTTTTCCTCATGAATAAAAACAGAAGATCGAAAAATTCTAATTGTGTTTCAGTTCATTAGCTTTTACTGTTCATTTAGCTCTTATGAAGAGGACTGATTTAATACACCTCAATATAGATGGCAGCCACACATAACACATTTTTTACAGCTCCGCACCTATCACCTTTGGGATACTCCAACTACAATCTTAGTCAGTGGCAGATACTATTTCAATATTTAAAGTTCCCTTTTCCCCTCTTCTATTCAGCCTACTACAAGATATGTTGTTCAGCTACAATAACTCAAAATTAAAATTATTCTGAAAATATTTCATCTTTAAAAATAAATAGGCTCTTCCCAGCATGAGAAGAGGATAAACCAATTGAGGAATGACCACACATGTCAGACTAATTCTAATGTTCATATTTTGCTTTCTGATGGTCTCTCTTCTAGAATTTCCTTTCATGGAACTAAGACAATTTTACTTAAACAAGTGTTTTCTATACTTCCTCATGTATTAATTGGCATTAATAATAGGAAATAAAGCCAGGTGTGAAAGTGCACACCTGTAATCCCAGCACTCAGGAGGCTGAGGCAGGAGGATTGCTATGAGTCTGAGGCCAGCCTGGGCTACCTAGTGAGCTCAGGGCCAGTCTAAACTACACAGTGAGACCCTGTTTCAAAAAATAAACCCCCCTCAAAACAAACAAATAAACAAAAAACATAGGAAATAAAGCAAATCTTTGTTGCACAGGTACAGCATATAAATAATGAAACAAAATTTTTTGTAGAATATGACAAAAGATATATGGCTCAGCTGGCTGTGGTAGTACATGCTTATAATCCTAGCACTCAGGAGGCTGAAGCAGGAGGATCTCAATTTCAAGGACAGCCCAGGGTACATAATGAAACATTTTTTAAAAAGACATGGTTGAATAGAGAATGAAAAAAAAAAAAAAATCAGACCAATAAACCCCTAAATTGATAGTATGCATAAATACAACAATTAAACAATTTTTCTGCTAGAACATGTCATGCTCCACACAATGTTTTGGTCAACAACAGACCACAATACACAATGCTATCTACCACATAGCGTAAGTGTATAGCAGGCTAAACCACCTAAATCAGTGTAGGTACATTTCGTGGCACACTTGCCTACGACATTTTTCATAAAGCATTCTGTCACTAAACACCACATGACTTCAGTAGTTCTGGTATCAAGTTAGGGTATCCAAATGAACTTTCTGAATTTTTCCCATAATTAAGACATACATATCTGTTATGAATTTAATCATGACATGAACATTATAGCATAAAGGTTGTAACACGGTTTTGGTATTTCTACTGCCTCTAACTTCATTTTGGCAGGACCCTCTACACTTAAACTGTTCGAGTTAACTGTAAGACATTTTGCTTTACTAAGCACTGTTACTACAATGGAAAGCAACACTAATAAAATTAAATATAAGCACTTCATGTGCTAGCCTCATTTGTAAAATGGGGATAACAGTTTATTTCACAAGTTCTGCTGGACTAGATAAACCATGCACACTGCTTAGAACTGTGTCTAACACATTGTAAGAACTCTAAACACTAGCTAGTATTCTCTATTTCCACTCAAAGATAATGTTTTCCATCTGTAATTTACGAAAATTACAAAAATTGCACAATTACTTAGATTAGCAAGTCAAATACAACTTATTTGAAAAATGTTCCGATCCAATATTTTCAGTATTGTTTTGGGGGAAAACTACATAGCATTTATAAATAAGGAGGCACTAAAATGAGTCCACAGAAGAAAATGTTATGTGACAGTGACCAACTGTAAAATGGGGTAACAGTTTTCCTCACGAGTTCTGCTGGACTAGATAAACCATGTACACTGCCCATGTACCCTGTCTCTACCCTTACCGATTCATTTTGCTTGAAAACATTCTGTAATAATCTGATCACACATAATATTTGTAACTAATAATCAAAAAGATCAGCTGGCTACAAAATAAACCTGCAGCAACATTATTTAACATGACGCCTTTCGATTAAAAAGTCATTTAAACTACAAACTAGTTGAGGATGAAAACAAAACAAGCGACTTCTGGAGTCCCGAGCAAAGCCTAAGAAAGGGCATAATGGCTAAAGAGAACAATGTTCCCTTATTTGTCACTGTTACTCTGTCATCTCTCTTTCCAACTCATTTCCAGATATCATCAACCCACGACAAAAATTTCAATTACAAAAAAAGACAAAACTATCTTAATCCCCATTGTTCACGAGTGCCATCTAAGTGATAACTGGGTGTTTTCAATAAAGTTTCAAAAAAAAATTAAAGCCAAAGGTTTTTTCCCCCATCATTGTCCAAAAATGACAATAGCCAAGTATAATATCCTCCAACTGAGACTTATAAAACTAATGACCTACACTCAAGCGTATGATGGGTAGGCGCCGAATAAAAGAGGAGACACCTTCCCATTCAATGACAATATGAAGAAACTACACAGACACACGCACACACGCAAGCACGCACAACAATGCCGAAAAATGTTTACCAATACCAACACGAGAGCGAAAAATTACCGGATAACAAACCCATCTCTCCGTTTCTGAACTGGAACCCTTAACCTCTGCAAATGTTTAATTACTCTTAAATCAAGTAAGCGGGGAAAATCCCGCACGCAAGCCCATCTCGGCAGCCCCGCACAACAGTGACGAGGGGGAGCTGGAACGCGAGGGGTGCCGCGATCTCAGCTTCAGTCCGGGGGGCGTGTCCCCCACTGTTTTCGCTTCCTTTCTACAGAAACGACAGCTGCAGCGCCACAAGGAGCACCCAGCCACACGGCCCCGGGGCCCCAAGACATTGTGTAGGGGACAGAAAGGAAAGGAGGATCTGAGGTTTCCAAAGGTGCAGAGGGAATTTGCTCGGCGCAGGGCTGGACCGGGATCGGCCACCGCGGGGCAACCAGCCGCACCGCGCGCGAGCCTGGCCCCCCACCCCACCCCACCCGCCCGCGG